CGCGTACAGACGGGTCCCCACAACGGGCTCCGCAGGTGGCCACTCGGGCAAGTTACTTTACCGTTTCATTTATTATTAAGATTTAGAACATGAGCAAAACTTTATTTGAATTTATTGAGTCGGATTGTTTAAACATCCTGTTCCTCCAGACAAAGTCAAATGCGATTTTTCAGGGGGAAAAAAAGGGAAAGCTGAAGGCCAGAAGTTTTCCGACAAGCCCCGAGGAAGAATGGCAAGGAATGTGGAAAATGATTCAACTAAGAACATTTTTTTTCATGTATTACACTACTTTAACATCATCTATGCAACAAACCCTGTCTGCTCTTGCTAAACCTTTCCTTCTTTATTAGAAACAGGATGAGTAAGCAAGAACAGACTGAAAACTCCCTGGTAATATCATGCATAGCGTTTACTAAACAAAATACAAGATGCACACTGGTCATAAATGTCTTTTTAGGTCTACATTAAGGCCAAATAGTACCACATGACCCAATGCATAGGATAGCATTCCTCTCCATCACTTACACCAACAGGAAGTCTGTCAAGCTCCCAATGCATATTTTGCTTGATGCTGTATGGAATGGGTTAAAGGAACCTTGAAACAAACATGGAAGCTTTTATGACAGCCCTCTTTTGGCAAAGGCTCAATGCTTGACCTGGGAAAAGCATGCAGCTAATGATGGAATCTCCACATTAGATGCAACCAACACCAGGTTCTTGGTGCCAAAATCCTGTGTACGAATAAAAGTGTACTGTAGAAGGTAGTTAAAACAGCAGAGCAGGCTGAACAAATATTTACCTATAAAATATTTAGTAAATGGATAGAATTTAACTGCTGGCCTATATGAGGGTGTAGGCACCCTTGGCACTCCAGCTGTTGTGAAACTACAAGTCCCATACGGTATCACAAGCCTGACAACCATAGACATGACTGTTTGTACTGTGCTGAGGTTGCCGACCGCCTAGAAAAATGACCACCTTTGTGGTGTATGGTCGGCAGGTTCATATTAAAGCTTCAAAACCAGGGCAGAAAACTGCCTCAGAGAAATGTAATCAGTTAGTGATGGATTAAGACTGCAGATTAAAAGCGACTTTTCATTTAGCCAGCTATCAATAGCCTGGCATCATCTAGTGTATGAGCAATGATGGCATCAGAGTGGTAAACACCGATAGTGCAGCTGTTTTCCAAAATAAAAGTACAGAGACAAAAACCTTCTTGTCATAGACTTGTGATGAAGCATTGTTCATTTCTCTGCAGGGTTCACTGCAAGACAAAAAGCTTGTGATGCAAAAAATGTGCATTCAGAAGATCTCAAGACACAATGGGCCATGCCCCTGGAAAGAACTCAACAGTATTGTTGTTGTGGCCTGTACGTCTCAATGACAGATATGCACCGGACGTCTACGAGAAGCGTTCCGCAGTATACACAGGCTACTGTCTTCCATAACACACCTCCTACACTAGAAAGCTTAGCACACGTAAAAATGAACTCAGGCATTCATTATACACTGCCAAGGGTGGAGAAAAGAATAACATACAGTTTCCTTGACTCTTCACCAAGTTTCAGTATCCATTACAAGAAGATATACAAGCCAGACAGGGTGCAGTCTCAGGAATGGAGACATTAATGCTAGAGTTTGGGGGCTTCAACCACCCACACTGTAGAATAACATAAAAGGATCAGCAATATCTTCTACATCAGAGGTGCTACACCTTTACTTGGGGAGTCCAAGTGTTATTCAATCAACAGTGCAGGGGGGAAAAAAAGTGTCGTAACCCACAGCAACCAGAAATAATTTCCAGTGAATGTTGATTGGTTGCTATGGCTACTACACTTTATACTTAATATTTTGCTTCTTGTACCATCTGTGTTATTGTCTTTGGGTTTCCAGATGTTAGGATGCAACCATCCTAGTACATGCATCACTGCGCTATTGCAAAGAGTTAGAGCCTTGATGGCAACTGTCCAGGGTGCCGTTGTCCTCAGTCAATCAAGGGTTAGCACACCACTATCAAGTCATTGCACTGGTACCACTACCATCTACCCATACTTTCTTCTTACAGCCACAATGCTACGTAGCATCGTGAGAACGCCAAGGCACTGCAAATTTAATCAAGTCCCGCCCCCAATTCTGTTCCTCTGCCCCAGATTCTCAAGAACCATGTCCTAGTATCATGACAATAACAACAATACAATTGCAACACAAGCAATGTCCTATTTCTGATGGGGGTCCATTTCTGCCAGGGCTCTGTCCACAGTCCACATGTAGTTTGTATGTTTCCCCATCTTCTCACGCATTTCCTAAGGTAGCTCCAATATTCTTCTCCTCATACATACTAGCAGGTTAAAAGACCAGACTTGAATTCATCTTTAGTAAATGTGCCTCTATGTCAAGGAACATTACATTACAAGCACCACAGGAATAGAGACTAATGTAAATGATGAGCATAGACTAAATTACACATTGCATAATAAACTAGCAGGGAACAAATCTAGGAAAATGTATAACCCTACAGTTCAAGATTCATAGGTAGGACCATTAGTCATGAAGGGGCTGAAGAGCAACACACCAGAATATTGTTATCACCAGGGTAGGAGATGTGAAGATTGCTGAATGTAAAGGCTAAACGCTGTCAAAAACAACAGCCTGCGAAGATGACTTCCGTACTGTGTACTACTGCTGATAACCACAGAGGCAAAATATGCAGGTAAAAATATGTCTGATCATACACAGCATTGGTTTTTCTTCTTCCCCTGCGGGAGTTGCATGCCACAGACTAATCCCCTACAGAGTGGTGGCCTCATTATGCATCACTGCTGAGCAGATTCTCTACCCAGCTCCACCTCGTACCAGGATTCATTGACGGGAAACTCCACACTGAATGTCAGAGGAGGTACTTGCCCAGTACATTTTAAATAGGGTGCAATTTATGCTACCAATCTATACACCAATATATAATTCTAATAAACTCCATGGTGCATGTAAGAGGTGGTACCTAGCCAGCACATTGATCAGGTTGCAATAGGTACTACCAAGCTATGCAAAACAATGTCTACATTTTGGAAACTCAAGGGTGAATTTAAGAGGTGGTACCATCTCAATACACCCTAAATATGGTGCAATAGTTAATACTGATATACACACCAATGTATAATTCTAGAAAACTCCAGGATGGATGTAAAAGGTGGTAGCTGCCCAGTATATATTGAACATGGTGCAACGGGTACTACCAATCTGCACACACGCCAAATGTATAACTTTAGTAAATTTAAGGGTGGGCTTAGAAGGTGGTACTATCTCAGCAGATGTTAAATAGGGTGCATTACATACTACTGATCTACACACACACACACACACACACACACACACACACACAAATATATTATTCTAGTAAACTCAAGGGTGGATGCAAGAGGTGGTACCACATACTGAATAGAGTGCAATAGGCACTGCTGATCTACACACCAATGTATAATTCTAGCAAACACCATGGTGGATGTAAGAAGTGATACTTGCCCAATACATAGCAAACAGGGTTCAATTGTACTACCAATGTATAATTCTACTAAACTCCATGGTGATTGTAAGAGGTCACACAATCTCAGTACATCTTAACAGGGTGTAATATGTACTACCAACCTACACAACAAAGTAAAATTCTAATAAACACCATGGTGAAAATAAGAGGTGGTACCTGCCTAGCACATAGTAAACAGGGTGTAATAGTACTACCGATCTAAACACCAATGAATAATTCTAGTAAACACTATGGTGGATGTAAGAGGCATTACCTGCCCAGTACACAGACAACAGGGTGCAATAGTACTAACAAGCTACACAACAATGTATAATTCTAGTAAACTCAGGGATGGATGTAAGAGGTGGTACCAGCCCAGTACATAGTAAACACCAATGAATAATTCTAGTAAACACTATGGTGGATGTAAGAGGCATTACCTGCCCAGTATATAGTAAACAGGGTGCAATATGTGCTACCAATCTAAACACCAATGTATAATTCTAGTAAACTAAAAGATGGATGTAAGAGGTGGTACCTCCCCAGTACATATTACTCAGTGAGCAATATCTACACACCAATGTATAATTCTAGTAAACAAAAGGGTGGATGTAAGAGGTGGTACCTCCCAAACACATATTAGTCAGGGTGCTATATGTACTACCAATCTACACACCAATGTATAATTCTAGTAAACACCAGGGTGGAGATAAGAGGTGGTACCAGCCCAGTACATACCGTAGTAATCAGGGCGCAATATGTACTACCAATCTAAACACCAATGTGTAATTCTCCCTGTGCTACATACATTTTCTGTACAATTTTACAACACCATAAAACCTAGCCCATGTGCATCATCCTTTTAAGCTCTCAGCCACCAGCACTGCAATAAGAAACCCCGTGCTGAATCCAATCATCAATTAAGAGTCTTCTTCCCTCCTATGTCATAAAGTATTCATTGTGACCCGGTACACAAAGTAGCACTGCAGTATTTAGTTGCAGAGTAATTACTAGCTGCCACCTTGCTGAGTCTATGAAGCCAGTCATTCCAGTTCCTCTACACATTGCAATGCCATTCCCTGCTGCCAGCTGGAGGTGACCCTCTCTATCAGTGTCTGCAGAGAGGCTTCATTGATGGCTGGGGATGAAAACAACGTCAAAGCAGCACCGTGCCTGCACTCCCATCATGACAGCTCACTACATAGAACACGATCCGCTGGTCGCAATGGATCGCAGAATTCCCCTTCCATGCGAGGATCACCTCCGGCGTGCCAGGAACACATACCAATAGCCGGCTGTCAGCGCACAGTGCCAGCGATCCGCAATGCATCCACTACACATGTACACATGTCCAGTAGCAGAGTGGAAGGGTTAACTCTGCAGATGCCGGATCCTGCACTACAGGTGACACATCACCCCCTGAGCTGTCAACGGGGCGCTGGTTAATGTCAACACTCTACAGACAGGCGGCGGTCCTTACCAGCCGCATCCTCCTCCATCCCTGCACGGTCACCAACAGTCCGCAGAGCCGGAATCGTGACGGTTCAGATCTTATTCCAGACGCAGCTCCCGGAGCCTCCACCACACACTACACTGACCCTGCCAATGATTCCAAGCGGCAGCTCGTCGCTCTCCCGCTCCAGGCTCCGCCCACCGTCACGTGACGCCCAGTACTCCGGCCCATGACGTCAGGCGTCAAGTGGTCTGTCGGGTGTATAAGGAGGAAGCAGCGGCTGGGTTTTCCATGGGGGTTATGCTATTGATTCGCCGCTATGGTCGAGGTTATTGGAATGAGCTTAAGGTTAAAGGAATGGTCCACGTTATGCAAAACAATGATAGATGCACCCATACTGCAAATAGAAAATATGTGCATTTAGTCCCCGTTCACACCTAAGCATTCAACTTAAGCGGTCCGAACGTGGGGGAAAAACGTGCACTTTCTTTGATGTGCATTCATGGAACATGTCAAAAACACACAATATGGCAGGATTTATCAAAACTGGAGCAGACAGAATCTGGAGCAGTTACCCATGGCAACCAATCAGTGTCTCTCTTTCATTTTCAAAGATTAAAGTCTCTTTTTTGGCACATATATTTTTTTAATCATGGGGCATATGTCTACGACTATCTACTGCTTTCAGCATATGATCCATGATTAAATAAAAAATACTTAATTACCTGTTTCTGCAGAAGCTCACCCCCGGCTGATGCACTCCCGACTCCCGAACGGCTGTGAAGAAGTGTGCGGGCGCATGTGCAGTAGAGGGGAGAAAACAAACAGTTAAGCTCAATGGACGCAGCTAGGAGCGCACACGTTGGACAGACACCGTGGTACATGAGGAGTCTGCGGTGGATCAGAGACAGACCAGCGCTGGAGGGACTGTCAGAAACGAATGGAAGGAAGAAGATGATCACCGCAAGAGGCATCAAATAAGGAAAGTGCTTACAGCAGAAAGGGGGGACATTTTTTTTTTTTACCTTTAATGTCACTTTAACTGAACAAACTGAAGAGAGAAACTGGTTGGTCACTATGGACAACTGCCCCAGATTCTGTGTGCTCCAGTTTTGATAAATTCCCCCCTACACACACACACAATGTGTGGTTGTGGTGCTGTTACTAGTTAATGGCACCCCAAATGTGGCCAGGAAAACATACGGGACGCATGTTGCAGAATCTGCTAAATGAGCTAGCTTCCTGCGTTTGCCGCATGTGCCCCAGCCATTGAAATCAATAGTAGAGGTGCACCGAAAGGAAAATTTCAAAAACGAAACCGAAATTTTAAAAAATGTCAGACCGAAACCGAAAATGTTTTTTATTTTAACTTTTTCAAATTTTTCAAATATTTTTATTTATTTTTTATAAACTTTTAAAAAAAATTAAACAGTGGTACCTTGGTTCACGAACTTAATTAGTTCCACGATTGTCGTGAACCGAATTGGTTGCGAACCGAATCAAACTTTGATCAGGCATCACAATCATGAATGACCAGAAGGTGATGTAGATCACTTTCCATTCATTCATAATTGAGGATATAGTAACCATTCTCTGTCCTCAATTATTTACAAACACTCAGCGATCACTGATCACCTGACACGCTGTCACAGGAGGCTGAGCTAGCGGAGCTCAGCCTCCTGTGACAGCGCTGGCTGTCTCCGCCCACACACCGCTCTGCCGATCTGTGATAGGCGACTGAGTGGTGTGGGAGGAGAGACGCTGGCTGCTCACAGCACTCTCCTCCCGCAGCGCTCGGCCCGGCTGTCACAGTTTCTCTCCTCCCCGCTGGGACACAGGGCAGCGCCCAGCGGGGAGGAGAGAAAAGGATGGATGCACCACTGTATCGGCCGAAAATGGCACTTATGCCAAAAGTGCCATTTTCGGCCGATATATCGGTGCATCCCTAATCAATAGGCAATGCGCAACAAATACATGCGAATGCAACGTATGCCCAAGGTGCCCATACACCTTACGATTATCGTACGATTTTCGTATGCGATCGACTTTTCGTCCGATAATCGTATGTGTGCATTGCAAAGCAGGAAAAAAATGCCGTCTGACGACAGCAACCCGCAGATAGGAGTCAGCCGTCCGTCCGTTTTTTCTTAACGGGCGGATGGCAAGAGGTTAAGAAATGTTTTGCATTGGAGCCTGCAAACCATTGCGACCGCAATCAGTGAAGCACCTGCAAACTATTCCTCCAGCCCTAGGTCTGTACCAAGTTAAGGATTAGGGCTGCAACCAACTAATCAATTAATAGATAATGAGAATCGTTGTCAATTATTCTCATTATCGATTAGTTGATCTGAATCCCCTAGTTATCTTCTCTGCACTGGGAGCCAATGTTTCATTGGCTGTGTCCCCTCCAAACCCTGCTGCTACCAGCCAGGGCCGGTGCTGGACTATTGAACCTCCTAGGCCCTCAGCAGCCCCCAACCCCCTCCTCCTCGCACGCGGCACCATTCTCCTGCCAGCTAGCTTCCACAGGAGGTAAATGGATGTAAGCAGCCGGAACAATAGCCAGACTGCTATTGGCTATTTTCATTTGAAAAAGCCAATAGCAGACTGGCTATTGAAACACCAGCAACTGAGCAGAGGAGCGGACCTGAGAGAGAAAGTTGTCTCTTACTATCGCTCCTCTTCTCAGCAGGTGGGTGCAATAGCCAGCCTGCTATTGGCATTTGCAATTTGAAATAGAGGGGGACGTGGTGGTGTTAGTGGTTGAGGTTGCTCTCCAGGTAGCAGTGCGCCCTAGGCGGCTGCCTAGTGGCAGCACCGGCCCTGCTCCCAGCGGGGATCCGAGGGGGCAAAGACCGCTGAAGCTCCCTCCCACTGCATGCTGCGGTTTGTGTCCCCTCCAATCCCCACTGCTCTCCCCCACGTGTATCGGCAGAGGCAGCAGGGATCGGAGGAGACACAGACAGCTACAGCCAGCGCCCAGTGTGGAGAAGATACCGGCTGTTAGCTAACACTGCTCTGACTCTTCAGCCCCCCACTCCACAATAGCCAGCCTGCCATTGGCTATTTCAAATTTTAAAAATTGTAAAAGCTTAGAAAGGTGCGTGAGCTCCTTTGCCATGTTTGTCACACATAGAGCTGCCTATTGAAATGAATGAGCTGCCCTATGCGTGTCAGATGCACATAAATGGAATGTGCAATGTCGAGCTGCACATGTGTGAATGGAAGCTACAATTTCACATTTCCAATTTCCATACAGCCTCTAATATCAGGACCAGTATCAGGATTTGTTGTTCTCATACTCTGATGAACTGAACAATATGCCATGCAATGCATTGTCAAAAGATAGATTGTAGCAACAGTAACAGTTTATGGGGATACATTTAACGCTATGAGCTGGATAGTTTGTATCCTCTGTGGCCATACGCACTTTGAATCAATGTTCAAAGCAGTAGAAGCAGCTCCTAAACCACCAATAATAGAAGTAATAGGGCAAAAGGATATCATACCGGTGTAATACTGTATGTGGAAAATATACTTAGTTAAAGCATATCTAAGCCCAAAAACAGAAATGTAATATATTGCAGCTTACTAATTTTTAGATGTGGTGGTTACTTTTTTTTTTAAAGCTTTTTTTCCCTTTATTTTTACTTGGTATGTTTATAAATAACACACGTCCTGTCCTTTCGTGAGCCATGGTTGTCACACAGGCTGGATTTAAGATACAGTGAGGGGAATTGATCAAAACTGGAGCAGACAAAATCTGGAGCATCTGTGCATGGCAACCAATCAGTGTCTCTCTTCCATTTTCAAATCTTAACTGAACAAACTGAAGAGAGAAGCTGATTGGTTGCCATGCACAGCTGCTCCAGATTTTGTCTGCTCCAGTTTTGATCAATTCTCCCCAGTATGTCTGTCTTTTTTCATCTCCATTACATGGCTAAAGCTGAAGTCCAGCTATAATGATTTATATATATATATATATATGTACAGTATATTGGTCCAGCTTGGCTCAGTGTATACATCATTTATAATTATCCTCCTGTAATATCCTGTAGTAGTTGCAACAACTACAGAGCTGTACAGTGATCTTCCTGGCCCTGCTACAGCCGCTGTGCTGGACAAGCTCCACGGAGAGTGATTCCCTTGGCATAGTGACCATTCAGCAAATGCCTAATACATTATCAATGAATAATAGACGTTATCTGACTGAACGAGAGGCAGTGACATCACTTGTATTGGCGACTGCTCAGCCTTCATCCAAGAGGAACGGTACCCACCAAACCACTGTCTGCCAAAACAGTTACTTTCAAGGCACGCCAACTGTCAAGGTTGCCATTGGGCATATTTCAGCTTTCAACTGAACTTTCACATCCTCAATTGGCTGGTGTCGTAGCCGATCACATGTGCAGCACCATAGTAACACCTTTTATTAGTATAATTTTTTGGTAAAATATAAATGACAGCGTCACATTGGGTAAATAAACACAAAACATGTCAAGCTTTAAAATTGCGTGCGCCTGCAAAATCTCAAAAAACTACAATGCCTAAAATTGGCTTAATGTAACATAGTTACATAGTATTTGAGGTTGAATAAAGACATTAGTCCATCAAGTCCAACCTAACATGTGTGGCGTAATCGTTGTTTTTGCACATAGCCGCACCCGATGTGTATTTATGTTTATATGTTCGTGCACGCGGGGGCGGGGGTCTTACTTTATTTTTGTGTTTTGTATTTTTTGTTAATATGTGACTTCAATTTTTTTTTACACTTAACTTTATTGCTATCACATAGGGGGCTAACAAGCCCCCTATGTGATAATAAATATACAATGACAGGTCCTCTTTATGGAGACATCAGGGGTCCCCAAGACCCCTAATGTCACCTTGGGACCCCCAAAGAAGCTGATGAAGCAGAGATCTGCTTCACCTGCTTCTTCTCTGGCTATAGCAGCCAGAGAAATGACAGCTAAAGGCGAAAGTGTTGTAATACACATCCCTTTCCGCCTGTAGAGAGAGGGGAGGAGAGATTAGCAGTGGGGAAATGCTGATCTCTCCTCTGTCATCACTGGGAAAAAGCCGATGTGCCGGTCCCGGGCCTGCAGTGGGGACAGCGGAGCAATGCATAACCACCAGTGGCGGTGGAGTGGGGGCCAGCGCAGCAGCAGAGGGGGCCAC